GGTCATATTTATATACTAAACTTCATCCAATTCCGTCCAGCCTGTTTAGCAGAACACAATAACAAACATACATACAGGCATACAAAATTTGCATTTATATTAGTAGTTCGATGTATCCGGTGTGGTTAAGAAAAAAACAATACCCCACATATTGGGTACTCGGTACGCATTATTTAACAAGAAACAGGTTAATGAATCCATCTTTTCGGATTATATCGCGGATTTTTTGGATCCCAACCACGTGGTAGTTTTAAAGGACATTTATATAGATAAACTTTAAAAGCAAAACCTTATCTAAATACAAAATTTGATCACCAAATCGTTAGCCGTTTCCGAGATATACGAAATAAATTTATATATAAACATACATATATACAAGAATTGTTCATTTAATATTATTATTAATAATTTGAATATTTAAAATTTAAACATACTGTACTGTGAAAATTGACATTTTATTAAGACGTCTTTGTTGTACCAACTATCAAAATTTGCAATTCGATGCTTTCATACGGCCGAATTGGTTCTGCGCCTCTAAAAATGTAAAGCAGAGATTTCATTAAAGGCGTTTAATTAAAGCCTTCAACTTCGTATACCTACAGGTAGTAAATAGAATTCTTGCACGTACCAAAACTGATTGCCGTATCTATTAATATTCTACATTTAAATAGATTTTATTGTATTTTTTCGGATTAAAAAAAATAACTTGTAATTAAATTAAATGAATATAAATATGTTGGGATATTAACAGAGCACCATCTAGTTCCATGGTAAGCTACGAGGCTTGTGTTATGGATACCAGATAGGTGATACACTACACACATATAATTTTAAATACATACATATAATAAATATAAACACCCATCACTAGAGTACAAACATTCGTGCTCATTACACAAATAAATGCCCTCAGCGGAACTCTAACCCGCGACCGCTGGCACTGCATTTACGCTGGCACTAAAAACTGAGCCAAGCGTGTCGTAAATTGTATATAAAATTGTAATAATAACAAATTTAAAAAAAATCTAATTGCTTAGCTAACCGTTTAAGTTAGTTAACTATAGCGAAACTAAATAGAATATTTATTATATAAAAAAATGTGAAGTAGTTTAATGTCTCTCTTTCCTTCTAAATTAATCTATAATTTTGTATGTAGACTGTATTTCCCGTTCCAGTAAAACATACGAAATGTCGGAAATCAAAACTCTAAATAAAGCCGCGGAAAAGTCCGAAAAGATAAAAATTTAAAATGTCCAATTTACAAGAAAAATGTTTTGCTACTTTGAAACTTTTTTTTTGCTCACCAGATAAGCATTGAGAAGAAAAGAACATAATAGCTTTCTTCTTTATTTTATTTCCAATAAAGAAGAAAAGAAAGATTTTTTATAAATATAACTAGTATTGCCCGCGGCTCCGCCCGCGTTAATATGACCAAAACCAAATTCATATATTAGTATACTCGTATTAGTATATTAGTTGACCCAGATAACAAGCTATTACCATACCAAATTTCTTCAAAATCCCTCCAGTGATTTTTCTGTGATGCGGGCACAGACAGACAGACACACAAAAATTCTTAAAACCATAGGTTCGGCCTCTGTTAGCGATAATAATGTACAGATTTAATTTAGTTAGAATTTTATTATATGTATAGATAAATGCCATAGACTTTTTGTCTGCGTCTTTTTTTTAATATTGCCGTCATTTTATATACATCCATGTGTAAGTAGGCAAAGACAAACTGTTCACTACCTTTTATCTTCTTCTAGTGGACCGATTTTCTTTTTTTTACTTAGCAGCTGTTTTGGCTAAGTATTGGCAAATTTTAGTGTTATCAATTAAAAAAGTACTATGATCAAATTTCGACCACTGGACGAACACTAGATTTTTATGAAATTTTTCAAAGATATTATCTCTACTAAAATAGTAATCTCATATCCGGTGTGAACACATACCAAGTTTACGCTAGAACCGTATCAAATTATTAACGTACAATTTACTATTCGTATTTTGTCTTTGGAGTTTTAATCATAAAATAATGGCTTTTAATTTATACATATAATAAAATTCCAACTAAGCCGAATCTGTACATAAAATATTTTTTGGATAATCTTATTGAAATAGACATTATAATCGATGCAGAAGCCGAATGTATAGTTTTTAGAATTTTTGTCTGTGTTTCTGTCTGTCTGTTACCGCATCACAGAAAAACCAATGGAGGGATTTTGATGAAATTTGGTATGGTGATAGCTGGTTATCCGGGTCAACATATACGATACTTTTTATCGCGAGACAACGTCTCATTTCTGAGAAAAATACAAAAACTGCAACGTAAGAGTATATGTATAACCTATAGAATTTTTGGTCACCTGAACGCGGGCGGAGCCGCGGGCAATGCTAGTCATAAAATAAATGTATTCTAATAAACGATATCAAAATGTAGCAGCATTTTTAAGGTTCCGTACTTCGCTGTCCGTCCGTCCAACCGTCCGGCCGTCTGTCAGAGGGCTGTACCTCATTAACCCTAATTACCTTTTACTCATGACCCGTAATAGGTAGAGAGTTTAAATTTTCACAGAGTATATATTCTAATGCCGCTATAACAGCAAATCTGTATATATAATAAAACTGTAGAGGTCGAATGTCTGTACATAGAAAAATAAAAAAAACTACGTTCAAAAAAACCGACTTCAAAAACTAAAAATTATAAAACTTAATAAAGATTTAATTTTATACACCATTTATGCAAACCTAATACCTATATAATGTTAAATAAAACACAATTATTTGTATGTGCTACCTATTGATAGGTTTGAAGTCGGTGCCAAGCCAAATGTAATAGTAGGTACCAACACTCGCCGCGATCTGAGAAATCTATACTAAAGGCACCAACTTCAAACCTATCAATAGGTAGCATATACAAATAATAATATTTTTTACTAGATACATATGATACTGTTATTTTCATATTTATTATTCATATGATTTTATGCTTATGATATTTTTTTTATTTTTGTCTGTCTGTCTGTTTGTTTCGGCTAATCTCCGAAACGGCTGAAAGGATTTTGACGGGACTTTCACTGGCAGATAGCTGATATTACAAAGAGTAACTTAGGCTACTTTTATTGTAAAAAAAAAATTGTGAACAACACGCGAACGCACAAAATATAGCAAATTGATAATAATATCGAACACAATTCACCATGAAATATTTTATATTTGATTGTAACAATATCAACACGTCATGGTTAAAGGGGAAGAGAAAATATTAGCCACCTTCTTTCTTCGCTTTGGGACTAATAAATATTAAATTTCATTTCAATTTACTCTCGTCAGGCTTCACGTAGGAGGAGCAACGATGAAGCCTTGGCTTTATTTATTATAAGCCTACACTGTCTCGGCGAGTTGTCTCGATCGAGCGACATATAATAAAATTGTAACTAGGTCGAATCTGTACATTAAATATTTTTTGGAAAATCTAATTGAAATAGACATTATTATCGATACAGAGTCCGAATCTATAGATTTTAGCATTTTTGTCTGTCTGTCTGTTATCGCATCACGAGAAATTTGGTATGATGATAGCTGGTTATCCAGGTCAACATATAGGGCACTTTTTACCGCGGGAAAATATCTCATTTCTGAGAAAAAATACAAAAACTGCATTGTAAGAGTATAGTTATATGTAAAACTTAAGAATTTGGTTTTTGATCGTTTGAACGCAGGCGGAGCCGCGGGCAATGCTAGTTTACTATATAATATACACCACATACTCGTACTATATTATTAAAGTTGAAATACAAAATACATTATTTAACTTTTATTTATGGAATATTTGAGTTATTTTCTATCAGATTTTGTAAGAAAATTTCTTCAAAATTTTTAAGTCAACTGTTACGTTTACATCGTTATACTCTTTATGAAGCTAAGCTCTTTGTTTTTTTTGAACTGACATTGTCTCGTAGAGTGGAATTATTTTCTAAATAACACGCCACATATAATATCTACGTTGAAATGTGAAGCAAATTGTAGATCTTTTTAGATTGTATTACTTTAGTTTATGGGAGTGATGAGTCCTAAGATTTAAAAGAGCCTTTCTTTTTGAGTCAGACTTTAAAGAGATTCTAAATCATTATCATTTCCCGAAAACTCAAGTTCCTTTTTTTGCAAGTTTATTGAAAAAAATACTTGATAAATGCCGCTCTCTTTCGTTATTATAACAATTAATATAAATAATCTATTTTACCGTACCGCTGTGCAAAAAATCTATACTAATATTATATATGTGAAAGTTTGTGAGTATGGATGTTTGTTACTCTTTCACGCCAGAACGGCTGATCGGATCTGGATGAAATTTTTCACAGAGATAGATTATAGTCTAGAATAGCACATACTTTTCATCCCAAAAATATACGGTTTCCGAGAGATAGATTTGTTTTTGTTTTAGTAATAGCTAGTATAATTGTGGAAAGGTTTTTAAACATCTACAAAACGGACAATATACTTAAATAAGCTCTACACATTTACGTTTATTATGTACGAGTATGTACATATATTTTATACATATGTTATTTGTTATTATTCTCGGATAAACCTATCCTAGGCGAGTAAAATAAATTTTAAGAAAAATGTTCATTCTTAAGAGTAAAATAATTGCTTTTAAAGTGGTTTTGAAGTCACTGTACCTTTTTAGGCAAAAATAATTACCATAAATATTTCCCATATGATAACGATCTCAAGCCTACGCGCAATTTTGTCATACGGCACTGAATCAAAAAGATTTACAGCATAGTGGTCTCATATCAAAAATACTCTAATTTTCTCTAAATATAGACTGCGTTGGCGAATGGAAAACCACATTAAACACACACTGGCCAAATATACAGTAGCTAAATAACTAAATAACAGAAGGCCTCGTCTGCAGAACGATAAAGAAGTCAAGAACTAAGCCTACAGCCCACTTCTTTAAATTTCAAAATTCTCAATTCCAGATCACCAAAATGTCTCAAAACTGCAAGTCTACTTACTCAACAGCCACGACAAGGGATGCCAATAACAACACTCTGTACCATGGAGGCAGCTCGTCGGTGTATGGTGGTCGAGGGTACACACCACCCAGCGTTGCTAGCAGTGGGAACTACAAGGTGAGAAAAAGTCATTTTCTGTCAGATTTTGTAACACCGTCACGTTTGTCTCGTTGAGAAGCATAGAATCTTGTTTTTACATAGTACATTTATGGTAAAAGGTATTCTAAAATATTTGCCATAAAACCTTCTAACTGCTTGTTAGAACTCAATCAAAATCGCTTTATCTCTTCTATCAGCTTTGAGTTTAAGTAGACACAATAAACCACAAAGTAACGTAGGTATTATTGAGTATACGAGTATTTATATTCGACTAATACTTTCTCAGACTTACGCGAATATTTGAAATTTTAAATAAAACTATCTTTTTGGATTTTTTCGCGGATTTATTTTGATTTTTGGTTCCCGACGTTTCAAATGCTTTACAGCTATTAAGGTCACGGAAGAGATAAATGCGCAAAAAAATCCCTAAAAGATAGTTTTATTTATATGTTCGTCACAAACATTGCAATTTTATTTCTATACACTCATATAGAGAAGGACATGAGAAAATGTATGTAATCTTTTCGGATCCTGCAACATGTAAAGCTGTCAGTGGGGATGTTCTCGTGAATTAAGGAATGGGCTTGGCGCCAAGCTTTAGCCGACAAATAGAGTGTCCAATTGTAATATTTATATATTTTCCCTACTTAGCAAATGCGTCTTTTGGGAATTGTAGTATATTTTTGGTTGGTGATTAACACTAACTAGGTTAGAGGTTGTTGGTTCGATTCCCCGATAAAGTTCGTAATAGCATCAGCTTTTTAGTATCTTAAAATGAAAGCTTAATTAAAAGTATCATCGGTTTTTATTTCATATAGATAGGTAAAGACAAAAAAAATCAGTACCTTTTCCTCGTCTGTTTTTTTTGCTTAGTAGCTATTGACTTGTTGCGTAAATACGCCTCCCTTAATCAAAATTATGTATTTATATCATTTGCTATAGAAACCCTTTGTCCATGGGGTCGTAGTGCTAAAAATGTCTTAAAAAACATAAAATCTCATCTTATCGTCTCTACTGATGACAAGAAAGCTGGCTCGTATTCGCCTAAAGAATCGGCATTTCTATTCAACGGAGGAATACACTTAGCATTCCTACTACAATTCCTTGCGAACATGACTTGTACAGTATTGAGTGTACATTTGTTTTCTATAATCGAACTATTATAATTTGAATAAAAATATCTAATTAACTTAATCGGATCCAGTTATGCAAAAAACAGCCATGTGCGTAAAAGTACCAACAGAGTTATAAGAATTTTATTATAAAAAATAAAATAATTATAAAAAATAAACAATACTTATATAAATATTGTTCAATTTTAAAATAACCAGAAAAACAAAACATAACCCAAGTGCATCTATCGACAGAAAAATGCTTATAACTCTATTGGTACTTTTACGCATAAAGCTGTTTTCAACCGACTTCAAAAAGGAGGAGGTTCTCAATTCGACTGTATGTTTTTTTTATGTTTGTTACCTCAGAACTCCGTCATTTATTAACCGATTTGGACAATTTTTGTTTTGTTTGAAAGGGTATACTTCCAGATTGGTCCCACTTAAATTTCAAAAAAAAATATTACCCCTAAGGGTGGAAAAACAACTAATGATGAATTTAACCTACTTCTAATTGTCATATTGACTTGAAACTTTGCAAGTATTTCTATTTCCCTTGATAGTACAGTAGTTCGGTGTTGTTGACCTGATCTGATGGCAAGGCCAGAAGGTGGATAGGTGGAACTCTTCAACGGCTAATAGTAGATACTTTGAGTTTGGGCTTATTTTGTTTGATTTGACAAGCCTAACACGTTAGAATCCTTACTTTGCTACTACTGTCTACACTAAAAAGGGAAAAATAAAAACTTTTTAACAAAAAAATAAAAACCGACTTCAAACAAAAGCACTAAAAAGTAAAAAATAACTGATTGGTAGTTTTCATTTACTATACATACCTAATCAAATATTTACGAAGTGGGTGTGCTTTGGCTAAGTAATTAAAGCCTTCCTATTAAATACATACCTAATCAAATATTTTCGAAATCGGTGCCAGCCCATACAAAGCAAAGCACACCGACTTCGAAAATATTTGATTAGGTATGTATAGTAAATGAAAACTACCAATCAGTTATTTTTTACTTTTTAGTGCTTTTGTTTGAAGTCGGTTTTTATTTTTTTGTTAAAAAGTTTTTATTTGCATAACTGGGTCCATTATCGTCCTTAAGATTTGATCACTGCTCACAAATTGTATTCACTTTGTGTAAAGGGTGAATGGTAATTCAATTATTAAAATTGATTAACCAAACGAATTTTAGGCAGCCAAAACATAATTAAATTTAATTTGTACCAAATTATAACCACCCTATAACACAGTCACATTAGCAATAATTGAAAATCATAAATTCTTATTTATAACTTGTTGAGACACATATGTACATATTATGTGCTAGCGCTCGTTTCGCTCGGGCTGTCCCTAGGTAATTCTTAAAATTGACATAACTTTTTTTATTTATGAACCGATTGAAATAATAGAATACTACATGTTAAGTGAAACTTACCACAATACATAAGTGAAAACCGAATCCAAATCGGTTAAGCCATTTCTGAGATTAGCGCGCACAAACGCAGAGACAAACAGACAAAAATTCTAAAAATCATTGTTTTCGGCACTGCAATAGTTTATAAAAAAGGCCCCCCACATAATAATATTTTTCAAATATCTTCCATGTACAGACAGCGATCAGTTACAATTTTATTATATGTATAGATATACAGAAGATATATATACATTTATTAGACCTATGAAACTAGTAATATTCACTGGCTACTACTGGCTGAAATATGACCGCATTTTGTCAAAAAAAAACTGATTTCGTACACTTACATGGCTAAAGCTGGCTAAGCTTTATTCCCTCCACGACTGCAGGCACGCCGGCGTGTCAGTTAACAATAGATTTCTTAGAATTTTAATAAATTTCTTAGAAATTTACCTGCAGGTGTTAAGAGATACATCAAAACAGTGTACTAGAAAATTGTTTGTCTTAAAAAGGCCTAAAGAAAAGTACGCGATACCATGTCTGTATATAATAAGGTTCACAATAAATATTTTTATCTATTTAAAAAGTATCTAGGGGCCTCAGTGAAGCCAGTGTAAGTCTCTAGTTATAAAATAAAAATAAAATACGTGAACGTTCTCCAATAAACAAAATCCTTGGCTTTTGAAAGCTGTCAATCTCCAATCTATACATATAATAATATTGTAACTAAGCCAAATCTGTAAATTAAATATTTTTTGGAAAATCTTATTGAAATAGACGTTATCATCGATATAGAGACCGAATCTATTGTTTTTACAATTCTTGTCTATCTGTCAGTCTGTGACCGCATCACGGAAAAACCACTGGAGGGATTTGGATGAAATTTGGTATGATAATATCCGGTTGCCCGGGTCAACATATAGGATACTTTATACTGCGGGAAAATATCTCATCTCTGAGAAATCTATACTGAACGTTAAAACGTTACTTACGTTTTACGGGAACCCGAGCGGAGCGAGGGTGAGTCGCTAGTAAATTATAAAATCAGAATTAGTAAATAATATATTGGAATTTCTTCTAAACGTTCTGGTTTTAAGCGACTGTCAACTAGACCAGATAATATATATGTAGATATATATATTATGCACTAAGTACTTCTTTTGTTTTTTAATTTAAGATTCTTAGAGCGACTGGACAGATAATGGGACTATTTTAATCAAGTACTCATTTATTTAGTTTTCTACTAAAAATATAGTTAAGAAAAAAGTAATTAAGTTGAAATTTACAGAAATTCAGATTCGAACCTACACCTTCATTTAACTTGAATAAAGTTTCACTTAACATAAGCTCAAAAGTCTTAAAAGCGTCGATAATATTGGTATTTCGACTATTTTTACTTCACAACCGGCTGTCAATCTTGTTCCTTGCAAGATTGTAATTATAAAATGTAGAGTAATATCGCTAACTTAATATAATTTACCAACAGTTTAAAAAGAAGTGTTACAATATTTTTAAAGTAAGGTTACAATTAGTAAGGTTTCAAAATTTCAATAGGTACGTTTTGACGCTTAGTATGGAATAGATATTTTTTTTCTATTTTTTTTTCTTGAATTTTTTCGATGTTTCATGTACTATTCGAAGTGAAGACAAATCCAACAAAACAAAAATCATAAAAATCGGTCCAGCAGTTCTCGAGTTATAAGTGTTATAACAAGCCCGACTTTGTTTTATATAATATAATATAGATAAAGAAAATTATCTTTTAAGAAATCTTATTCGAATCGAACCCTCGTCGTCTTTTAATGTCTATCAAAGTTAATTTATTGGCTCGAAAGCAACATCTATACTTTTTTCTTATAAATGATATGGTGGTATTTTTTTTTTGATAGCACATAAAATTATTTCTTATGGGGCACGATGGTTTATCGCTGATGTATAAAGAAGTTTAATAATAATTCAGTCCCTCGACGACCCATTGCTGGGCAAAGACCTTCACTCAATCATAGGTAATTTATATAGTCCACGATTACCCAAAGGCAGGACTTCACACGTCTTTGGAAAATCAGTTAGGTTCTTTAGAAAATCGGGTTTGTTCACTTTTTTCCTTTACCGTACTCGAAAGTTATAAATATGAGAGCATTTAAAAATCTCAGAGGTTCGACTCGAATTTGAACCCGTTTTACTTAATCAAGTGGGTCACTACTTTTTCTATAATCAAAAACTGGCCTAATGTGTGATACTTACGTCCTACACATATAATAAAATTCTAACTAAACCGAATCTGTACATTAAATATTTTCTGGAAAATCTTATTAAAATAGTCATTATTATCAATACAGAGGCTGAATCTATAGTTTTTTAGAATTTTCGTGTGTCTGTCTGTCTATATGTCTGTCTGTCTGTTACCGCATCACAGAAAAACCACTTGAGGGATTTTGATGAAATTTGGTACGGTGACAGCTGGTTATCCGGGTCAACATATAGGATA